ATGAACATGACGTGCACGAAACACTGTGGGGCTGAATTTATCACTGCAAGACAAATTTTCAAAAAAAAAAAAAGAAAATTCATTTTGTCTCTCTTTAGCAACAAATACTTGGAGCTGTTATAAAGTAGATTTCTGAAGTGATTTGTTGTGTTGGTATTACAGGCACCTACTCTCTGGCCTCCCCAACTTTGGTCTATTTATTTCACACTGGTTCTTCTCAAAGTTTATTCTATGAAACAATAGTCCTTTGATCTGCTTCACAATAAAAATAATGTGAAGTAAAATAAAAAACACTTCACATTGAGTCATAAACATTTACAATCATGAACATTATTTTTATTTATTCCAGACTCACAACTCTTAGGTAGTTTATAAAACATATTGCAGTGAGGACTAAAATCTATTTCATTCTCAAAATCAGTGTTTCTCAGAACTGTTTGATTAATTAACTCTTTTGTATTACTGATTGCAATACTTCAAAACTAGTGCTTTTGGAAACTCATTTTAGGATATATCATAGTTCATCAATTTCTAGATGCACATTTTCTCACTTCTTTACCCTCTGAAATTGGGATGCATCTTAGTATTTGATATCCTGGGTTCAGTGAAATATGGTTTTGCCCTAGCAGCTTTCATGTGAGTTATGTGTGCTGTTTTAGTGATCATTAGGCTCAGCTGAGGGTGACAGATGTCCAAAATGATAGTGGCTCAAATAACACAGAAATTGATCTCTTAACAGCAATTCTTGGGTAGGTGGTCCTCCACTAGAGTTGCATATCTTGGTCATGGATTTCCAGGCTTCTTTCCTCTTGCTCCATTTTCCCGAGCCTTTATATCCCAGGCCATATAATGGTTCAAGAAGGCTGCTCTCTGTTTATCTATTCTACCCAAATTCTTCACATCAGTAAAATTTTTAAAAAATCAATAAAAAGTAGGAAAAGCAAAGTGACAGATGTCTCTTAAGGAAAGTTCTCAGACTCTCCAATGACACTTCATCTTACATCTCACACCTAGGAGCCGAGGGAAGCCGGGGAATATAGTTGTTTTTCTAAGCTTGTGTGTACTGAATTGATTGCTTATTGCTATGAATAAAAGACAAACCTATGAAGGGGGAAAGACTGGAGAACTAATACCACCTGCTCTGGTATTTTCCCTGAATATTGATATTTATAAGAAGTAGATCATTAAAAAAGTTATGAACAGAAACTAGAGAAATATCAAAGCACACACAACTCTTTCAGAGTTAAGGCATGAAGGCAACTATTGTTAAAGATGAAAAATTAATTTTGCCATTAGCAGCCAGAAAATTAGCCCTTTCCTCTCCAGTATCAAAGAGTTTAGAGGATATTTATTGGTATGCATCGCCTTGGATTGTGAAGGTCAGAACGTAATGATCTTGGTTCCCTTCCTTTGATTCTCTGGTCCCTCTGGTTACCCACATTTCAGTGGGGGAAAGTGCAACTAGAAACGCAGGGAGTGCTTCACATAGCGGCTACTGTGTGGATATGGGCTCATAGTAAGAATGTCCAGAATGTCACTAACTTGATTAGCTTGTTCTCAAGCTGCTCTGCGATTGTTTCTATTACTCTTTTCGAGATTTTGATTGAATTAAGTGTAGGAATTACTGTAAAAAATTCTCCAATGTTAATCATTGCATTTAATTTTTACATTTGTTCACAACATCTTTAGTCACTAATTTCTAAATGGAAATATTGAAGTAAGGAGACTGTTCAAATTTAACCTCAAATTTGACTACTGTTCATATGGAAATATAATTAGATTATTATGAATTATCTTTTTTAAAGGTAAATTTCTACTTATTTTTGCCACTGTAATTTTGGAATTTCTGTGACTGTCAGCTGATCCTCTTGATTCTTTTGCTTTATTAAGCTATATTTTAGCCAAAACCAAACAAAAACATATCTTTTTTGAAGCCAGAGTTCTATTACCAGTTCCTGAAAGCTGTTATTCTGTGATGCCTACCTTAATTTATAAGCTCTTAAAAGCACTCACTTTACAGGGAAATTATTTAATAATTTAATGTAAAAATAGTAACTATATAGTAAAGAGATACAAATTTTTCTCTGTGTTTATTATGTCAGACTATCTGGTATAATAAGGCAAATAAAATTATAAAGTAATATATCCCCATCAGGCTTATTTTTAGGAAAAGTAATTAAATAAGTGGTAAAAAATCTTGAAAGACTCAGTAGGTGAGCTTCATGAATTGATCTGGCTTAGTGGGTTGGTAAAAATGTTTTCAATTAAAAATGTTAATTTACATGTTTTTTTCTCTATTGCCTTGCCTTATTGAGAAGGATTAGTGATTTATACGTCTTAATTTTTGAACAATATTAATGATAAAAACAAAAATGGATGCTGATGTTATAGTTTAACTTATTGTACCCACAGGGGAAAAACTGATTTTTTTAAGAAAGATGAAATCTACCAGATAGATAGGTATCTTCTTATTATTACCAGATATTTATTGAATACCTCTCATGTACAGAGCTCTCTGGTAGCCTTTGGAATGTGGAAGTCAAATTCTAAATAATTCAACCATGCTGAAGTGTGTTTGAAGTAATGGTTATATCTTTATTGCTTCAACACAGAAGGGAAATATCCTAGCTATGGTATGAATTAGGAATTATGAAGTAATAAATTAAAGTAAAAACTGACACCTATTTTTTTTGGAAACTTCAGGCAACATAGCTTTGAAGCACATTCATAAACCAATAATAAAATTGGAAGGTAGGAGGACTATATGAGAAATGTGCATAGTAGTTCCCTTTTTCCATGGGGAATATGTTCTACCACAAACAGTACCAAACCTTATATATGCTATATTTTTTCTATACATAGATACCAATGATAAATTTAATTTATAAATAGGCCCAGTAAGAGACGAACAAAAATGACTAACAATAAAATAGAACAATTTGTTACAACATATTTCACTATAAGTTATATGAATGTGGTCCATGTCTTCGAGCTCTGATAACTGATCTGATAACCAAGACAACTCTCAAGTGAGCAGTGGGTGGGGAGCATATACAGCATGTACACACTGGACGAGGGGATGATGCACATCAGGGGCAGAATGGAGCAGGGCAGTGCAGGATTTTATGACAGTATTCAGAACAGCATGCAATCTAAAACTTATGAGTTGTTTATTTCTGGAATTTTCCATGTCATATTTTTGGACCATGGTTGAACTTAGGTAACCAAAGCTACAGAAAGCAAAACCACTGCTAAGGAGGGACTACTGTATTTCTGTCCCAGTTAGAAAGATTCCTTAGAAGAGCGATTCTCCATCTCTGAAACTGTGTACTCAGAGCAGCAAATTTATTTAGCTCCAACTATAAGTGTTTGCAGTGTGGTCTTTCTAATGGCCTAACAATCTGAACTCAGCTGGATTTCTGTGCTACCACTCTTCAAGTTATCATGCAGGTACCCTACTGTGATCTGCCTACTGTTTCCTGTACTTTTCTTCTATTGCTTATTTCCGTTACTAAAAATAGCAGTATTTTTAGTAACGGAAATCAGGATTTAATAATTTATCAGGTGATAGTAATTCTTTAAATCAAAATTGAACTTTCTCATTAGACTTCAAATTTATAAATATTTTGGATGGATACGTTTTCAAACATATGTAAATTCTCAGTTTTACTTGGGTCTTTAAAAGTATTATATACTTGTCAGGAGTAATTTTTTTTGCAATATATTGGATCAGTAGTCTGACCTGTTCAATGTATAATTATAAAACTTTTAAATAGGTAAAATTTTAGCATTCATAGAAATTTTACTTCTGTTGCAGGGTGTCTGTTTATTCCTGATAAAGTAGGGAAATGATAATTGGAGCATAGTGTTAAGAATTCTAAAACCTGGATCTAATTTCAAGATTACTTCTTATTTAGAAAGACGTAAGACTTATATGACCTGAAGAGAAACCAGAGTATCAAGATTACTTCTTATTTTAACTGAGAGGCCTTAGCATGTCATTTAACTTTTAGAAGTTTGTTTCCTCATTCAAAAAAATAGAGTGAATAATATTTGCCCTGATTATATTATAGGTATTGGGAGGACAAAATAAAACACTGAGTATTAAAATACTTAATAAAACTTTAAAGCAGTCTCAAAAAAGGTGCATGTGTATGTGAATATGTCTATATGCATAAATGATAAAAAATAATAGATCCTTATTTGGTTTAAGTTCAGATTATTTATGGAAGTGAAAGATCACTTTTTAGAAAAGTTTGGGAAAGAAGAAGGCATTGTGCTTTAGATTTTCTTTGAATGACATGAACAGAGCAAGATCTATAACATTTACTTTACTTTCTTGGAAAGAGAACAGCTGAAATTGACTCTGTCCGGACTTAACATGGGCTCTTAAGACTCAATGGTATTGTATATTTGGCATTACACACTTCCTGAAGTCCTTTTTAATCTTCAAAGGTTTTGTAAATGTGAACCAATTTGTCCCAGTTTTGTTTCCCAATAACTGGTGTAAAATTGGTGTTCCTTGCGGCTGCTCCAGATGTGTTAATGTACAGTTGCCACAAATGCATTTTTTAAAAATTAATTTCACTTAGAATCACACACACTCTCCAACATGGGAGAGACATAAAAGTAAACATTATTTATGAGGCCAAATTTAAACAACACCACGTGGTCTTTCACAAGGATGACCAAAACACTGCTGTGAGATGACAGACATTGGCCAAACTTATTATACTCTGTGGTAACACAGAAAAAGCACTCTGTGTACTGTTGTTATGATTTTGTACTATGTAATGATTCCCCATATTGGATTGTCATTTTTAAACATATATGAAATAGAAGTCATACATAACTTATGATTTTGGGGGATGTCATTCAGAAAATTTAAATGTACAAGATAAAAATCAGTAAAAAACATTATAAAAGGTCATGGAATTTTCTTATAATTGTTATTGGGATGCATTTGAAAAAATCTGCCACATATGTCTTTTCTTCTTTAGGCTCCTTTACCTGCAATAAGTGATCTTCCAGAGTTTTTTGTTGCTTCTTATAAATGGCCTGGATGGACTCATGACCCATTGGATCAAAAGAATTGTGCTGCCTCATGGGCATTTTCCACTGCAAGTAATAAAGCCATTTTATTTACTTCTTTATACATTCTCCCTTTAGCTCTAGATCCTGGGGTAGTAATTAAAAGATTTGAAAATTTAGAATATTTAAACATTAACATTTGGTTAATTAAAATAAAATCTTATTTTTACCAGAGAAAGCAACCTGAAGATTATATAAAAATCAATTTTACTCTGACAAGTGGTCTATAGGATCTAATCTTAAATAGAGAGTAAATCAAAAGGACAACAAAGAAAAGCTGCCGAATTTGTTTGTCTCTTGAGGCTTAATTTGATATAAAATAAGACCAGAATAAACTAATTAAGGATAAATAGGTTTAATCCCACTTTAGATAAAAACAAATATACAGGTTCTGAGTCTAAAGTAATGTAGATGGTTTCTAATAAGAATGTCTTCTAAGTTAATGTTGCTGATCATTCAAAAGTGTTACAGTATATCTTTTATAGCTATTTTTATATAAGTTTACAAGTCCAGTAAATCAGTATTCAGGTTAATGCCAAGATTTGGTCTCCAAATTATCCTCAAAGGAGTTATGCATTCCAGCAATTAAATTGACACTAACATAATATTTATTAGCTGCTATCAAAGATCTTCATAAAACTATGCTTAAGCTTTAAAGGCAATTCCAAAAGAGCACTCAAAAACAGTCAAGTACCAAAAGCATTGTGAAATAAGAACATAGACTCTTAGAAGAGCCAGCTCTGAAGAGTGGCATTCCTTGGGACAGAAAAGTGCTGGTATCTTTGTGTAAATATTATTACTTCATAGTCTCAACTGGTTTGTTCTAGAAATAATGCCATTCGCCAAGGTCACCTCTGGAGCAGCTCCCTCTGTTAACTCTATGCTACCGCCCACTCCCCCGGGATAAACACTTCTGACTATCTGACTTTTGTCCTCACCGTGTTAGGCATACTCAGGGGAACCTCTGTGAGCCCTGATCCAGATGGGTGGGGAGAGATTTAATCAGATAATTTATCTATCGTTTTATACCCATGTGGTTAATGTACTACACCTCCTAGGTGTTATGCGAGAATCCTGCTTTAATTTAAGGCTGGACGGGTATTTCTGAAGCTGCCTTAGGGAAGGCAGGGGTGGTGAAATGCTGAGAAAAACCCTGCCAGGCTGGTCTGGACAGCGTTTTGGAATCCTCAGGTCACAGACCCTCAGTAGGTGTCAGCACAGGACTAAGTCTGCATTTGTCCCCATGTCTAATTCAGCAAAACAACAGAGAAGGAGTTTTCAAGACTTTTGTGGTTTCAGGGGACACAGTTTTATACCCTGTGTGTTCAGCGTGGAAAATAAAGTGTTAAGTAAAGAAAAGAAGAAACAAGGTTATTGTAAAGTGCTAGAAAATTATATGAAGAAGTAGTAATTAAAATACAATAAGTATCTTTTAAAGGAGCTCAAAGCTATAACATGGAATAAATAAGAATTAAAAATATATACATATATAAATAGTTGTTCAGTGACATAAAAGTCAGGCAAGATGTGAAAAGCTGAAGCGGTGAAGGAGCTGGAAATGGTGGGAGGGATGGAAGCCACAGATCCAACTTGGAGACAGAGTGAAATAAGCAGAGAAAATAATAAAGTGTGTCTCAGAGGCAGAGCACCGTAAAAGTGTTTGTGAAGACGCTGAAACACAATTTGTTAAACTGAGCCATTCTTCAATCTTATGACCCTTCCTAAGTATTCGAGTGAATTTGGCTTCAACTTTCACTGAGGTTCAGAAAATGTTGCTTTTATTTTCTGAACATTTCTGAACAGAAATGTTCAGAAAATAAGAGCAACATATTACATACCATCAGACTTTAAAATATTTATCCTTTAGTTGAAATCTCCCGATCCATGGGGCTGGAAGGGGCCTTCAAGGTCACCTTTTTCAAGTCTTTGGTTTTATAGAAGAGGCACATAGATAAGGTGACTTACCCAGAGCCAAAAGTCAAGCGGCGTCAGAAATGATCCTGGAAACCAGGTCTCTGACTTCTTGAATATCATTTTCTCTACATTGTAAAGTATATTCTGAGCCAAAGAATAGTTACAATAACATTTCAAAAATTTATATCTGATTCTGAACTTTTGTATTCAAAGTCTAGGCACCAAAGGATTTCAGTTTTCTTCTATGAAGAAGGGAATTGTTTTATTGAGAATAGTAGAGGTGGTAGTATAATGTCATTTGCTCCTGTGAAACATATCCTAGCACAATAGTAGTTGGGAATTGAGAAGAAAGGAGGAGGTTTTAGATTGAACATAGGTTGCACATCTGAAATGTGCCTGCATTTGTACTATGGAATTGTGCATATGCTATAATTACATACAAACCATATATATACAGAAATATATATGCATCTGAATTATTTTAAAATAAATTATTTTATAATGATTTTAAATTAGCACCTTGAAGAACTTTAGTACCCAGACAATTTTGATGAGCAAAAACAATAACTTTTCCTGAGAAAATTGGTTGGATAGGAGAAAAGTTACGATTTTGCTGCCTTTTATTAAAAATAAGAGATTAAACATCAAGACTGAGACTATACCAGACAAAAACAAACAACCTGTACCAAAATGGCACCACCCCAATTTTTTTCATGATCTCATTACTCATTGTAGCATGATCACAATGAAAACATGTATGGTTTTCTGCTACTGATTGATTAGTTATGACTCTCTTGTTTCTTGTTCATCATTATAGTTTTTAGTGCCCAGCACAGCTGTCATCTAGTAGATGGTCAGTAAGTATGTGTTTAGGGAAGAGATGAATTGATTAACAACAACCATGGTAGGAAATTATTTAAACAGAAGAATATAAGGTTCAATCATAAAAGGCATATATATACCTACACAAACACACGCACATATACATGGATTCAGTGTCTACTGAAATAAGATTAGGATCGTGACTTCCAAGAATATAATAAGCATAAAAGTGTGCTATGTAGCTTTTGGATATTTTATAAGATGGACTCATACTACCTGGATAATTTAAGAATGGTCTTGTGGGCAATTAAACTAGATATCAGTTTAAAAACCAAGAATTCAATTTATTCCAATATATCAGATTAACATAGATTAATTTCTAGTTAACATTTCTATGATCAGTTTTTCTGATTTCCTTAGCTTAGTTACATTTGCTTCAAAAAATATAATTTGCTCATGACTATATGTATGGTACTGTTTTAGGTGCAGGAGATAGAAATGTAAGTAACATGTGGCCCTGGTCCTAAAGGAATTTCACTTGACTAATTTCTTCATGAAGAATTCAGAAATGTATAGAACATGAAAGAAATAAGGGAGCAGAAAAACCTTGAAGCTGTTAAGACAGTGAAACTATACCAAAATCAGGCAAAAATTATGACTGGAATTATGATACAGTTAAGTTATTGGAATATATAAATATATTAATGATATTTTGCCTTAATTTTAAATTGCATAAAGTTTAGAAGACTAGGTTATGTTCAAATAAAAAAAGGTATGCAAATTATTAGAAATAATCATATGCCATTTGAATATTAACCAATATTTTATTTGAAACAGGTGTGGCTGCTGACCGAATAGCAATTCAGTCGAAGGGGCGATACACAGCCAATCTGTCTCCTCAGAATTTGATTTCTTGTTGTGCCAAGAACCGCCATGGATGCAACAGTGGAAGCATCGATAGGGCTTGGTGGTACCTGAGAAAACGTGGGTAAATAGCTGCCCAACATGTATTTATAGGATTCTTTTTTTTTTAATTTTAAATATTTTACTTATTTATTTTTGGAGAGGGGAAGGAAGGGAAAAAAAGAGGGAGTGTGGTTGCCTCTCAAGTGCCCCCTACTGGGGACCTGGTCTGCAACCCGGGCATGTTCCCTGACTGGGAATCAAACCAGTGACCCATTTGTTCACAGGCTGGTGCTCAATCCACTGAGCCACACCAGCCAGGGCTATTTCTAGGATTCTTATGAGGGCTGCTTAGGGTTAGAATAAGGAAAAATATATATATATTTCAAATTTATACAAAAATGTACAAATATATATGCTAAATCTATATAAATATGTTATATTTGGTATCTGTGGAGGTTATGAGGTATTGGAAACAATTATTTAAAGAATGTCTACTTCCTAGGTAAACTAATAGAAAGACGTAAGTAAGCATTGCCTTGTTGCTGTGAGATAAATGGCTCTATTAAATCCCCGTGGAGCAAATACAGTAATTGATATCACTGATACTTCTGTTGAAATTTTCCGTTACCCAGGTATATGAGTAAATTATCTTAGGTAAATTAGATTAAGAATCAGATGGATAAGATAAAGAAGTAATTTACAGTTGCCTCAGTTCATCAATATCATTAATTGTCCCCATCCCATTTGATAAGAAAAGGCAGGTTGCATTTCTTTACTCTCATGAACTCTGATAATCCACATAGCACCCTTGCATCTACTTTGAGAGCTCATCTACTTAAGAGCCAAGTTAATCCACTAAGTAAACTACAGGTGATAGCTAGTGGTATACATATGTACTGCTCATCATTTATTTCCTCATCCACTGAGTGCTCTGCACCTGCTATAGAGCAGGTATGTGCTATGAAAGAGTAGATATCAGATATTGATAAGTGGCAATAAATTTTAAAAAATTTCTTTCATATGTTTTGCCTAATAAGGCAATACTTAAAATGGACAACTTGGGCTGATACCTTCCTGGTGTACTAGTGCTTGTTTAGCTTTTGTTTTGTACTACGATAAAAATTAAAGCCCTTTAGGAGGTTAAAAATAAAAATGATCACAGAGACCCAACTAAATCTCATTGTATTAGTCTGCTTAGGTTTACATAAAATAACATAGACTGGATGTCTTAAACAATAGGCATTAATTTCTCACAGTTCTAGGGGCTGAGAAGCCCAAGGTCAAGGTGTAGCCAATTCAGTTCTGGAGAGAGCCCTCTTCCTGGCCTACCTTTCCACTATGTTCTCATAGGATGCAGCAAGAACGCTCCTGTCCATATAACGACACTTATCCCATTATGAGCCCCAAACTCATTACCTCATTTAAAGCTTATTATCTCCTAAAGGTCCCATCTTCAGATACCATCACACTTGGTATTAGGGCTTTAATGTGAATTTGCGATGACACAATTCAATGGACAATACTCATCCCATTTAAGTCAAGATTTTTATTTGAAGTGGTTAGTGTTTTTAATGGCTTTGCTGTCATTATGTTCTTTGCCTAGATTTTCTTACTCTTGTGGACACTTTCAAATTTTCTTGACCCAATCCTATTGTATAGTTCTATAGCCAATGCAACATTGAATATCTATAAAACCAATTCCATTGTTTTATTTTGTTACCATCTGCTTCTCTATTCAATAAGCCAAATAACTTATACTTTTCTATGTTCAGCTTCAAAATTTGAGATTAAAATTATGTTCTTTATCTTTTATATAGTATCTTGATAACTTTCAACTTTATTAACTTTAAGTATTATATTAACATACACTCTTTCTCCAAAGTATCATGAACTTTAGACATGCAATAGTTGAAGCCTTAAGACAGAGTATTTATAACTTAATAAAAATATAAAAATACCCTTAATTCTAAAATATATAATTTATCAGAATACCCCATATAAATATAATAAAATGTATTGTTCTTTTTACATTAAATTTTGCTCTTCTACATTGTAATTATAGATGCAGAATGAAGAAGTACTTCCTCATTTAATATTACCACAGATTTTATTGACACATTTCATCTCCAGGAGATTCTATAATGTAGATAGAATCACTTATTTAAGTGGATTAAAGCAAGATTTTAAAAATTATAATAAGGAAATAAGAGGGAGGTGAAGGAGAATGTAATATTAGTGAACTCCTCTTTTAGAATCAGTCAACATTTTAAAAGTTACACATGTAAGTAAACAGAATGTTTAATTAAGTAAAATTGCATATAGGTAGGATATTTCAGCATTTTCCTAAATATTACTTTTACTTTTTTGCTTATTCCTCATAGACTGGTATCCCATGCATGCTACCCACTTTTCAAGGACCAGAATGCTACCAGTAATGGCTGTGCCATGGCAAGTAGGTCTGATGGGCGGGGCAAACGGCAAGCCACAAAGCCATGTCCCAACAACATCGAGAAATCTAATAGGATCTATCAGTGTTCTCCTCCATACAGAGTCTCTTCCAACGTAAGTCTAAATGGCAAGAATTAACAGTAGTTAACCTGCTCAAAATATATAGCTCTGCTGTTATTAAAACTGTCTAAGAACTATTTAAAACTATTACATTCTAAGAAAATGTTATGTTTTAAGGTATAATTTTTTATATTCTTAAAGTGCTTATTAAAGACTTCCCATTTGGGTATGATTTCTGATCTTTTAATATTAGCAGTATAAATGACTGAGTTACATTAAAAATGTCCATGAAAATAGAGTTTTAAAATTATGTGTTAATTAATTAATATACTTGACAAATAAAGCTAAACCCTTTTTTACTGACATTTTATTTGTTGTAGTAGCTCATTGTGTCATTTTTTTTTCCTTCCTCCACAAAATAATTAAAGTAGACATAGCTGTAATGGGAAGAAGATGCCCTTGGATTCCAGTTTGTTGTGTTAAAGACATTGGCAAATTTTACCCCACTGTATTAATGTTACACAAACCTCACTTTCAGAATCTCTGAACCTTCACTGTCTTCCAGTTACCTGTAGAATACAGTCCAAGATTCTTACCATGACACACAGACTTTCATGATTTGGTTCTGACCTACTGCTTTAACAGACTCTTGTGTGGCCAGCATCTAACCCTCCACCCTCCCATAATGCACCTGATTTAAGGACTACTGTCTGCTCCTGCCATATACCACATTCTTTCATGCTTCTCCACTTAGCCAAGACATAATTCTTCTTACCCAAATGATTACCCCACCCACCTTTTTTTATCTGGTAACATCCCATGTATGTGTCAAGGTCCAGGTCAAAACTTGATCTTCTCTGTGAGGTTTTCTTGACTCCTAGGTAAGATTAATTTCCCTCTCTCTTTTGTATCAATGGCACTTTGAACTTGTCTCTAGAACAGAACTTATCATTTTGTAATGGACTTAGTTGTGTTACTGTCTATTCCACCAAAATGTAAATACACTGAGGATAGATTCAGGGTCAATATTTGTTTCTGTCCTGGTTTCCTGCGATGTATATTCTGTGATACATGTGCATAGATAGATGAATGAATGAATGAATGAATGAATGAGTAACCTGGCTCTTTACTAAGGGCTGCATTATACATTGCGTAGCAACATTTGTATACTGAGGAACTTCACTAAACATGCATCTGGAATTGCTCCTGTGATCAAAGGAATGGAGATGGCAGTTATCACCAATGATTAAACATGGTTTTAACTTAATTATGTTTTGGGACCATAAAAAGTTATTACATTCTCTCTCAATTCTAAAATTATTATCAGTGTTAAAGTCAATGAAATAAATGGGTGTATCTTGTTTTTAGCAATTTCATCAATGGGGCATTTCACATATGAGTAGTTCAAAGTATGATTAAAAGCAAGTGGTCAAGGCACATTGGGTTGTATAACTCCTAAATTGGTTGTACAACATCTATCATACGCCAGAAAATGGATTTAGTATGCTCCAATAACAATAACCATGATCAATTATATTTTTTCCTTCTAGGAAACTGAAATAATGAAAGAAATAATGCACAATGGACCGGTTCAAGGTAAGCTTGGATGAAGTGTGATTGTGTGATATTTATTCCTTTAATAAACATTACATTTTAGCTCATGTAAAAGGAACTTAATACAAGAAAGAAAATTTTTACTTTTAGAGTACTCATAAGGGTTCATCAGTTCTTAGGTCAGTGCAATCATGCTCACCTAATAACCTCATTAGGTGTCATGTTATTTTAAGAAAATAGATTCATCCATAAATTGAATACTTAAATATTAATAACACATTTAATGAAAGTCTGCTAAATCTTTCCAAAGTGATCATGAACCAAGCAGACAAACATAAAATGCTAAGCAATGAAGCTCATTTAATTGTTCAGTCACATTTAAAAATCATATATAGTGTTAGAAATTTTCTCACCATCAGTTTAAATGGATCAGGTAATGGATTGGAAAAAATCAAGGTTTTGCAGTAGAAATAAAGTAGATACTTTTCTTTTTCTATAAACTCAAAATAAATCAAGTAAGACAGTATGATTTTGTGTTTTATAAAAGGCTTTGTATTTTGATCAATTTTGTAAATGTATAATGGATAGTAAACTAACAGTAAATAAAAAATAAAATATTTACTGTACATTGACTGATTTTTAAGATATCACCTCTGATACACAGTCCCTCTACTTACTTATTTAATTTTATTTTGCATCAATGGTGTAGCTAAAGATACATTCACAGTGTATATTCTCTGTACTAAACATTGATTTGAAGAGCAGGGAACAAGAAATACAGAAGGCATAAAATGGAAATTCAGGTTGTGAACATTAAAAGGCCCAAAGTATACTATCAGTGTAGTAGGAGAAACCAAATATATTTAAATTAAGCAAAGAAATTTAAATAAACCACAACTTAAATTTAAAATATTTAACGTATATCTAAGGACTTATTGGCCAGTTTTTCTTTTTGAAATGCTGAATGCTGACCTAATTAGTATTGATTCAACATCTAGCAGGTACCATGGATTTTGTATTGGAACAATTAGCATTTATTGTTATTACCACTTAACACATTGAAAAACTGAAGCTTACACTAAACATATCCTGAAACATGTTTAATTTAAAGAAAATGGGACCTTACACAAAACCTGCAACAAATGAATAAAAATATTTTTGTCTCCTTACATTTGTGTCACTTTTGTTGGCTGTTATAAGAGAAGGGCAATTCATGTGTAATTTAAATGTGTATTTCAGTTCGTGGAGTTTGTGTGACAAATTTGAAAGAGTGCAGGCATTTGAACTCAAGGATGAACTAAAAAAATGCAACTTTGATATTTACTATGTAAATGACTTCAGGCAAGTTATTTAACTTCTCTGAATCTTCAGATCATTATTACTTTTGTAAGTTCTCTCTTTTTCTCTCTGTCTCTCCCCTCTGTCAAAAGATATTTGGATCATTATCATTTAAAACTACAAACACTTTAGGTATTTTTTTATAGTCATATACTGTAAATGTTTGTGAATTTCACCTAACAAGTAAAAAATAGATACAATTTCAAAATAATAACATTGAAATGCAAAGTTTTCAACGCCCATTGAACAAATGTTTGTTGAGAACCCATCGCCTTGCCAGCCTGAGCCAGGAGTAAAAGATAGAGCTGCAATGAAGGCAAGCTTCACCTGCTTATGGTAATTCTGTACAAGATTGCCGCAGTTGTCCAAAAATAAAATTGCACTGCAGTACTTTATATAGTTAGATGTTTCTGGGTTCATCAAGTCTGTTTTGGTGTCAGAAACTGAAGGAAGAAACCACCTTCAAGTTTATTGTAGTCACTTCTCACCCATTTTTCTTTAGTTGGCAGTGTTTTTCAGCAATGAAGAATGTATTTTATTCATGGTGGTTAAGAGAGAGTTGGGAAAAGCTAACGAAGCCTGTGGTTCTATTGAAGATGAAAACCACTAGCAAATTCTCCCATTTTTATAAATGCTGATTAACTCATCTTTCTGTAGATGCTATGTGATTGTTTGCCCATTGTTGCCTGGCTAACATTATGTATTTCTCCAGTCTCAACACAAAAGGATGTAAAAGGCAGCAGAATGCTGCATAAATAACACTGTGTGCATTCTTCTAAAATATGTAGAATTAAAAATAAGTTTAGGTTAGAAAAGAGAACAAAAGCAAAGATCTGCATGCACTACAGTTATATAAATTCTTAAAAACCTATGGGAATATGTTTTAAAGTTGATAAAAAAATTAAATCTGTTTTGAAAATATCTTAACAGTACCAGAAAAGGCATGGAACATTAAAAAGTTATATATGACTTTGGAGTACAAGCTTCATTTTAGCCAGTGACTTTAGTTCCTTTATTTACAATGCATGTCAAACTAAGATAAACAAGGGTTTTACAGTTATGAGATAGGCAAACATTGACCATAGTTATGAAGGTATACTTATCTTGCTGCTCACATCTTCTAGAAGAGAAGTTTAAAGTCTTCACCCTGAATTGACCAAGCTGTTCAACAAAGTGCACAGGGCAGAAAAGAAGTAATCTCGGTGGGGGAATGAAGAAGAGCTTTATAAAGTATAAGCTTTTACTTTCTAAAGAATACAACATTGGCTTAGCTTTCCAGACCTGGGAGGATGAAATTCTTTTGCTAAGGGTTTGCTTTTTATTATTAGCTCACCATGGAAAGATTTGTATTTATTTCTAAGGATTAAGGACAATTACTTTAAGCCCAGTGTGCCAGTCACACCCTTCACTGCTAGCTTAATTGGAGTTTTAAGAGGCTTGTGGCGAAGCCTAAGATTAATGGAGAAATTGCAAATCACTAGCCAAGTGTATTGGTTCTTCACTGCAAGAGACCCAATTCCTGCTCAAGAGTATCGAAACTTTTGGCATCTTTGGGCCACACTGGGAGAAGAGTTGCCTTGGACCACACATTAAGTACACAAACACTAATGAAAACAAACAAACCAAAAAAAAAGCTCATTATGTATTAAGTACATTTACAATTTTGTGTTGGGCCACATTCATAGCCATCCTGGGCTGAATGTGACCACGGGCCATGGGTTAGACACCCCTGCTGGTAATAGTGCCTGTATCAATTAAGAATAGATGGTGTTTCAAAGGTATAGTGTATACTTAAGTACTACTCAAACAACTAAAGCTGTTTTCATTAGAGAATAAAAAAATATTGCAGCCACATATAAATTATATCATATGGTACTTGTTTTCTCTGACTGGTTTATTTCACTTAATATAATGCTCTCCAAATAAACTAACAAGCAAAATAGAAACAGACTCATAGAGATCAGACCAACAGGTGTCGGGGGAGGAGGCTGGGTGGAAATGGTGAAAGGATTAAGCAAAAACGCCTCCAAAACTCATAGACACAGAGAACAGTGTTTACTGGTGATTAGCAGAGGGAAAGGGGGTGAGGAGGGAGGTAGAAGAGGGTAAATGAGGGATAAATGGTGATGGAAGGAGACTTGACTTGGGGTGGTAAACCCACAAAAAATGTACAGATGATATACTATAGAATTGTACACCTGAAATAATTTTATTAACTGCTGTCACCACAGTAAATTTAATTAAAAAAGAAAATATTGCAGCCAATTACATTAAGTAGAAATCAAAATTAGGCTGTATTGCAAATTCTCTTCCAAAATTTTACTCCTGGGGGACTTCTGGTGAAGATTGCAGTGTAGGCAGACATGATTTGCTTCTTTGTACAATCACATCAAAATTACAACTAAAATATAGAACAGCCATCACTCAGAACCATCAGAAATCAAGTGGAATGGAAGTCTGACAACTATGGAATTAAAGAAGTCACATCCATCCAGACTGTTAAGAGGAGCACAGACATGGAACAGGCTAGTCCCACACTCACATGTGGTGGATAAAAATTTGGAAGGGTATCTCAGAAGTGAGGAGTCCCAGCCCCACACCAGGCCCCCTGCCCAGGGTTCCAGTGCCAGGAAGATAAGTCCCCACAACTTATGGTTACAAAAACGAGTGAAAATTGAGTCAATGAAAGAAACTTCTGCAGCCCAAAGCAGTTCTGGAAGAATCCCAGCATGGACTCACCTACTCAGATTGCTGAGCTCAGGCTCCAGACCAGCATGGCAGCTTGAAGAGTACCGGTGGCATATGGGAGATGCTGAAGTATCTGGCATCAGAGCGAGCAGAGGCTATTGTCCCTTTTCTGACCCCTCCCCCCACAGAGCCACACCGTCTGCAGGCTGGTGCCCTATCTGAGACTCCATCAACCTGGCTTACACTGTTTAACTTGCCTTGGAGATCCCCTGAGACTCTCCCCGACCAAACTTACAAGCCCACCCAAACTGCTTTTCCATATGAATGGCTGGTCTTGGCTCTTACTGCAAAACTTCCTAAACCTCTCAAACAAGCAAAGGCTGGCCTCAGTGAGCCCCAGGCCAGGCACTAGCAGCAGCCAGCCTGGATTCACACCTTGGCTTCAACTGGGAGTCTCCAAGCCCAGCACAAGTAGCAGCCATCTCAGATTGCTCTATAGCTCAGGCAGGGTGGCCCTGGGCAAAACACTGATGGGGGATGATTTTGGTTTGTACCATCCAGGAAACCCCTGAATCTACACAGCCAATGGACAGCTACAGATCACATCAGAGCACCACCACCCTGCACCTGCACAGATGATCCTCCAGGAGGGTAGAGGTTGGTGGTAAGTGGTCACAGCCAGTCCTTGCAGCTGACTGGTCTGGGTAAATCCTTCCCATTGATCTACAGACAGCAACCAAGGCTCAAATACATGAAGAGGGTATACTCAATCCATATGATGGGTGCACCTTGAGTACCCAGCTTGGGTGATAAGGGAGGCTATGCTACTGGACCCTACAGGACACCTACTACATTAGGCCACACTATCAAGATACCAAGTCAAGGCAGCTCTATTTAATACATAGAAACAAACACAGGGATGCTGCCAAAGTGAGGAGACACAGAAACATGGCCCAAATGAAAGAGTAGATCAAAACTCCAGAAAAGGAATCAAATGAAATGGAGATAAGCAATCTATCAGAGACAGAGCTCAAAACACTGATTATAAGGATGCACAAGGAAGACAGTGAGGACCTCAGCAGCATAAATGAAGGGCCCAGTCAGAAATGAAGGATACACTAATTGAAATAAAGAACAATTTACAGGAAAACAACAGTAGAGTGGATGAAGCTGAGAATCAAATCAATGATTTGGAACATAAGGAAACAAAACACAACCAATTAAAACAACAATAAGAAGAGAAAAGAATACCCCAAAATGAGGATAGTATAAACATTCTCTGGGACAACTTCAAGAGGTCCAACATTCACATCATAGGGGTACCAGAGGGAGAAGAGAAAGAGCAGAAAACTGGAAATTTTTTTTGAAAAAATAATGAAAGAAAACTTCCCTAATTTGGTGAAGGAAATAGACATGCAACTCCAGGAAGCACAGAGAATCCCAAACAAGATGGATGCAAAGAGGCCCACTCCAAAACCCATCATAATTAAAATGCCCAATGTTAAAGACAAAGAGAGAATCTTAAAAACAGCAAGAGAAAAGAGATTAGTTACCTACCCGGGCATTCTCATAAGACTGTTAGCTGATTTCTCAAAGGAAACTTTGCAGGGTAGAAGGGATTGATAAGAACTATTCAAAGTCATGAAAAGCAGGGACCTACTGCCAAGATTGCTCTACCCAGCAAAGCTATCATTTAGAATTAAAGGGCAGATGAAGAGCTTCTCAGAAAAGAAAAATCTCAAGTTCATCATCACCGGTCCATTTTTGTATGAAATGTATAAGGTCTTATTTAAGAAAAAGAAGATCAAAACTATGAATAATAAAACAGCAAAAAATACATATCTAGCAACAGTTGAATCTATGAAACAAACTAAGCAAACAGGAACAAAAAAAGACAGAATCATGGATACAGAGAGTATTTTGATGTTTGCCAGATGGCAGTGGGGTGTGGGGGAATGGGTGAAGCAGTGAGGGGATTAAGAAGTACAAATAGGTAGGTACAGATTAGCCATGGGAATGTGAATTACAGTACAGGAAATGGAGGAGCCTAAGAACTTACATGTTCATTGTTCATGACCCATGAACCCAGGAAATGGAGGAGCCTAAGAACTTACATGTTCATTGTTCATGACCCATGGACATGAACAATGGTGGGGGGATTGCCTGAGGGGGTGGGGGGTGCTGGGTGGATGGAGGCAAGAAGGGAATTTCAGGACAACTGTAATAGCTTAATCAATAAAATATAATTAAAAAAATACTACTCCTAACAATTTACCCACTCATTCTTTCTTGGGAATATCTAGAATTTTTAAAATTCTATGTTTTAACCATATCATTTTATCTCTTGGGTTTTGTTCTAGCCATAATGCAAGTCCATGAGGATTTCTTCCATTATAAGTCAGGGATATATAGACATGTCACCAGCACAAATGAAGAATCAGAAAAATACCGAAAGCTTCGAACACATGCAGTCAAACTCACTGGGTAAGGCAATTCTTAAAAATCTTCATTTAACACTTTTGGAAAATGAAACTAAACAAGTGTATGTAGTGTATTTATATACAAAAATTCCCCTTTGTATTGAGAGAGTCTGATACAATTTTAAAATTATCTAAGCCTTAACACTCCTTAGTCATTGTTTTAAAGTTCAGTTCAGTGAAAGGGTAACTCAGAATTCTGGGAAAAATGACCATTTCCTGCCTCTCACTTATTTGTAATTGTGTCCTAAGAATCTGTTCCAAGGACAAATATATTTCAATAATATATTTCACCTATGAATAATTGAGACAAGGGTAGAAATCCAAAATGTGTTAGAATTTGGTGAAAAGGTTTTAAAAAAATTATAAATGGTAACGATTAAGCAGGAAGAGATGATAGGGTCACTTTTAAATCAATATAAGCTTAATTTTTATTTTTATGTGAGGATTGTGAAATTAATATTTAGCAAATTTGTGAGTAAAATGCATTCCGCCCTGCAAGGGCAAGAAACAGTTCAAAATTTAGTTACATTTCAATAGTAAGTAATTTCATAAACGGACCCCACTCAGAAAGAGTGGGGCCACCTGAGACCGCTTTCTCCAGTGCCTTCCCAGTGTCCTTCTGGCTGCCCACTGGGCAAGGCGTTTTTTCTCATCATGCCTCACTCCAATTCATATGAAATCTCTAGAAAAGGTTTTTTGGCTTTTTGTTTTGTTTTCATCCCAAGCCCTCACTTTTCTCATCTTGCTTATTATTGTGAATATCTTCGTTTCTATTGAAAATGTCCTTCCTGTTTAAGTTTGATTGAACCTGAACAAAAACAACCTCTGCTACAACCTAACTGTTAGCTTCTTCTTACTGTTTTTTTGAAACAAAGTCTCTGACTCAATTCTAAGGTACGTAGACCAGTTGTCACCTGCAATGTCTCCTTAATCGTGTACCTCCTTTATGTGAAATACTCTCATATTTCCATTATCAAAATCACTACATTTTATTGAATCTAAGATACTACTGATTTTTTTGTCTTTTCTTGATTTCAAGGATGTGAAAATATGTGCATCTTAGAATTGAAATATATATTTGAAGTTAATGTAGGATATTAAAATATCTACCAATGAGGGAAAAAATTAAAGATAATTTCATTATTTTAGTGATAACCTCTCTTGAGAGTTTGGAATAGTTTATATATCTCCTAAATATATAACTTTAGAGAAAGATGGCCAGATAGATAAGTAGATATATTTTATAGGAAAGTGAGATACTAAAGTACTGAAAATTTTATGACAAGGAAAATTTCGCTAAAATATTTATTAGCAGTATGTAAGAATGGCAGTGTTTCAATATTCCTTTAACCACTGGGTGTTTTACTTTTCCAGTTAGTCATATTAAATTTCCAAAATCATTATTAACAGTTGGTGAAAAGCATGTCATGTAAATCTCTCTGTTTTCCTCTCTGTTGATGAAAAGTTAGACAAAAATAGAAAGATAATATAGAATAATGGTATTTTATAATGCTAACATTCAGGTTAATTTTACTTGAATTTAGTGAAATAAGATATTTTTGATTCTTCAACCTAAGGATATTAATTTCTAAAAGAACCCTCTATACTTAAGAAAAAAATATATTAAAAGAATTAGTGGTTAGAGTAATAATTCATTTTTAACTTCATATCTCAACTTCAGATTTTATTGATTTATTAACAGACAAGATGAGGACATTCTTCATTCTTATACTTCTTCCCACATTATCTCCTCTCATAACATATGTGTTAGTGATATTATTTTTATATATTAAGGGATTACAAAATTTGCACTCTTCTTTGCAATCATAATATACATAGTTTATAATTTCTTACATATTAATGGAATCAATGATAAGGACACATCTTCTGACATTGGTTTTTCTGACCTTGAGTGTAATTTTATTAATTGTTTTATTGGGTGAATTTTATTTTAAATCAGGAGGGGTTCCTTCTTAATAATTATGGTCTCTAATTTCTTGCAAATATGTGAAAGTATTTGTTTCCTTTATATTCAGGAATACCTTTAATAAGTATAAAATACTGGGACTATAGAATCTTTAAAATTTCATAGATGATGCTCCAGGGTTTCTGGCACTGAGTTTTCCTGCAAAAGAATCTCTGACCAACCAGATATTTTTGTCTCCTTATAAATGCCATGGCCTTTTTTACTCAAATACTCATATTAATCTTTCTTTCATCCTTGAATTAGCTATATTCATCTTTTAAAAGTATATATTATACATAGCTGAATCTTCTATATCTTCTTTTATGTTTCAATAATATTTTATTATATTTCTTTATATTTCATTGTGTATGATTTTTTCCACTCTGTCCCATCTATCCCAGAATATTTATTGGAGTATTTGGTGTTCATTCTCCAAAGGGCTTTTGCCCCTGAGGTATTTTTTAATTTTTTCTCTTCCCTTTATTTTGGTTGCCTTTTAAGGTCTTTGACCTGCATTCAGAAACTTCGTATCAGTAATTTCTTTGCATCTATGTCCGACTTCTCCAGTTTTCCTGAATAGTTCCTAGTCTTCATGTGTATTTTGCCTGACTTAAAAAAAATTAATCTCTTATCTATGCATTTCATCCTCTGTCATTTCCCCGTTTTGGTTCATTCCCTCTACTGCTCTGACCCCAGCTGTCCCTCAGCTCCATACATACTTTCAATGAATTATTCCATTCAATCTGTCCCCCATTTAACTGTTCCTCTTCTAGATTCCCACACTCCCTTTGTCATTTAGTTAAAATTCTATGCTAGTTCATTATAACCACTCACACACACCTGGACTCTTCTGCCCTTGCTTGATTCATCATATTGGCTTAGCAAAATCTCAAGCCTGGTTAAATATAAAAACAAAACAAAACAAGTACAGCCAGTTTTTTACCTGTAGCTGTGCATCTGAACAAAGCCAAAAAAACTCCATAACAATGCTCAGTTCACTTTTTATTATAAGCACAAATTATTTAATACTGCCTGGCAATTATAGTTTGGATTTTTATTCTGCTTAATGTTCTACTCTCCGTGATTATCTCAAAACCTTTCATTTTGTCTTGAATCACCAATATTTCTACCCTCGTGATCTTAGTTGATAACCTTGAGTTCCATTTCACCAAAAAAAAAAAAAAAGATTAAAGCAATCAGAAATAACTCTCCGATCACACAAGCCATCTCTCAACATATACCTTCTCTTACTTTTTTCCACTTACATAAATCATCCAAATCCCTTCTGCTGTAGTGTAGACTCAAACCCTTTTCCACTATTTAAGAACAGGCAGAAGCAATTTTGCCTTTTTCTTCTTTGTAATCAACCGTATTTCTACCAACATACTTGCATTACCATTATTTCTCATACGCTGTGAAAATAAAAATGTTTACTTGCCTCCACTTCCTCTATACTCTATTTATGGTCTTTCCTTACAGTAAACTCCATACAATATTTATCTGTCCTTGCTTTCTTCATTGCTTCTCTGCCTATTTTTTGTTAAACCCCTCCAATCATTTTTATTTCCTTGCTCCTCTTTGTAAAAACATTCCTTTCAAGGTTACTAATGACTTCCACGTTGCTGTATTTATCAGTCAGAATGCAGAGCTACCCATCTTTTTCTTCTGGTTTTCTTTTCTAACTGTGACTTTTCAGTGTTCTTTGCTAATTTTTAATTTTATTTTTTCTCTACCTGTACCTCTATATTTCTTAATGTTGGAGTGCCCCAGACTCAGTTCTTGGTCTTTTTCTCCCTCTTATCCTAACCTGTTCTCTGATGAACTCATCAGTCTCTGAGCTCATCCTGGTTTTGAGAACCATCTAAATCTGACACCAACTGAATTAATAACTCTAGCCCAGATCTCTCTCCTGAACTCAGACTCATACATTCCATGGCCTACTTGACATCCTCACTTGGATACCTAATGTGTGGCTCAAATTTAGCACTTCCAAACTGAACTCCTGATTTCTGCCTTTACACCTGCTGAACATCATCAATTTTCTCCATCTTAGTTGATGACAACATCCTTCCATGTGCTCTGGCTGGAAACCGTGAAATTATTCTTGAAATTTCTTTCCTTGCAACTCACTTTCAGTGTTTCCGAAACTGTTGTTTCAACTTCTATCCAAAATCTAACCACTTTCTACTATCAAAACTACCACGATTCTTCCTTGAATCACCATTGCCCAATATTCTGTACATGGATTACTTAAGTAGCTTCGAACAGGTCTTCCTACATTGCTATTTGCCCTCAGAAGTCTATTCTCTACAGAGAAACAAGAGTGTTTACTATAACACTAGTCAAATTTTGTTACTCCTTTGCTCGGAACCCTACCCTACTTTCCCATTTCCCTGGGAGTAAAACCCAAGGTCCTTACAATGGCCCTCAAAAGCCCTGCAGGATCTGAGAGTCCTCCCTGACCCCAACCACATCTGCCTGTCTGTACCCTCGTCAACTTCCTGAGCTCAGTTTCTGCTCATCTGTGCTGCGTTTTACCCATTCTAGAAGTCCTTTGATGTTTTGGGAACCCACACCTCAAGGTCTTTCTTTCTGCCTAAAATGTTCTTTTTTTATCAGACATCAGATTTCTTAGTTTCTGTGCCTCCACTGAGTATGTGCTCATATCTCATCTGTTCAGTATAGATTCCCTGACTGTCTCATTAATACTGCTCCCTGGCCTCTCCTCTAGCACTTCTGATCCCTCTTACAAGATCTATTAATTTCTATGGCAATTATTACTTTATAACATACATTTAACTTCATTAGCTTTGTATGTCCCATGTATATTTTCTGTCTCTCCTCCTAGAATGAAGCTCCATGAGAGCAGGTGTAGCCAAACCACCTACTACAATACTGATATAAAATACTTAATGCTTTTCTTAGTCAAATAATGATTTTCTTCAGCATATGCTCTATGCTAGTTCTCATTTGGTACTCATCTTTAAATAGGTCAGCTTTTTGTTTAACAGTAGAAGAAAGAGAGTAAGGAGAAGTTG